GATACCTGAAAAGTCCAAAATGTAACCAAGCAGGAGGATTTGCTGTATTTTCGGAGTTAACAAAGGCGATCGCTTTTGGCGCGGCCCCAGCTCGATCCCAACAGCCGTTGTCCCTACGGAGCGAGTAACCATAGATGGAATCAAGCTGGCGCGAAAACGTGTAGGTTGGGACGCCTCCTCTGACGCTTTGCTAAGCACTGTGGTCCCGTTGCTGTGATAATTCAAGTGATAGAGAGAAACAACGGCTATCAAAACCAAGGGGCCGACAGGCATCGATTTCTCCTGATCCTGCACCGTGAAACCTCTGTACGGAAACGGCGGTCTCTATACTTACTCTTTGTGCTCCCCACACTAACACACGTGCTTTGTTTTGCTATGAACTTTGGTTCCAGCTGTTGGTGTAAATTCGTAAGACCGGTCCTCTGGAGTTGCTCACTCTATCATATTCTCTCCAATGTGCATTTACCTTGTCAACGTCGATGCCACACAATGGTCCTACACACGTCGTGCGATTGGGCTTCAGAAAGCTGACGTCAATATGCTTGGAGAAGTCCTCGGGTAGATGGCCGGGAGGCTGGTAGCCCTGAAATATAATGGAAGAGGTTAAACAAACACCGCATCTTCCAGTGACTAAAATTTCCCGCAGTAAAATATGGACACTGCATATTTCGGATTGAAGGGAGCTCCCATATAGTTGTCAAAAACGCCATTACTAAGGTCTTCTTTTGCGGGTGACTCCGAGCATTGCATGAAATGAGAAAAAGCTGGAGGCGAAGATACACTGTGTGCGCTGACGAGAGACCAGAGACACAAGGATGGGAGCAGAAATAGGGGAGATGACAAAAATGCTCCCCGACAGAATAAGCGCCACACTTCCATCTCGGGCGGGGCTTCTTTTCCGAGCGAGTTTTCCTAATGAGTGGCGCTACGGCGACGAACGGACACAGGTATTTCATTTTTTCATTTTTTCATTTTATTTCACATTCATTTTTTCATTTCCTCATTTTCAGACCGTGATTGGAACAATTGCTGCTTCTTCGCAGGGGGGGAAGAGGGATTTTTGAGAACTATAGGATGCAGATGGAGTTGATAAGGCACAGCACAATTCATGAAGTTGGTGTGTCTACCGCACCCCACAAAGTGTGACTAAGCTGCTGGCGCTTCTCAAAATGTCACTGAAATTGAATGCTAAGGATGCTGGTTTCGAAAAAATATTTTGACCTGTTCAGAACTCCGTACCTGAGTGGACACGGGTATGGGGAGATGAGTCGTTTCGACCTCTTTGATGGTCGTTGGTCTGATTGTCTTGGCAGTCTCAGTACCGGCTTCCTCAACATACAACTCCGTATGATCGTAGACCTCATAAATGTATTCCGGTGTCGTCGCAGATAATTCAGAAGACTCGGAAGATCTGGGTGTAGGTGTAGGCTGAGAAGATGTCGCCGAAGAGGACGAAGCTGGTGGCGGAACGGGACCCTTTGGACTGAAATTTTTCAGCAATTCTTCGTCCACGGATGATCTTGTGGGTCCGTTTTCTAGAGGCGTTGCTGTAGCTGCTGATGACGTAGCCGGGGACGATTTCTGGAACGGACTGATTCCTGACTCGGAAATATGCGGCATATCGGGTATGTCGCTAGTAGAGCCCTGATTTGCAGAGGCAGTGGTTGCTACATATCCATGGCCGACTGTACTGGTAGGATTGTACCATCCTCGAGTTGTATGACCATGGTCCGTTGTAGGTGAAGCAATTGGAGTTGTTAACTGATCAGGATTGATCGATGGTTGCATTGGTATCGTCCCTGAAAAGCCTTCATTGCGCGGACACAAGTGTGAAAAACCTCAAAAAATGAAAGAAAGGTACAAGTATACCTTGATAGTTTTGTGGATTCACCGATGGAATTGAGGGCGAAACGGTGTAACGTGGGGTGGGAGTAGGCCCGTAGATTCCTTGAGGTGGAATTGGACCAGATCCTTCCAGGTATGGGAAGGCATTTTGTGGAATAAACCACTGATTCCTTCCATTATTCACGACCGGAAAACCTGGTTGAAGAGGTGGATAGACGAAGCGCCCATTGGGATATTGAGGATTGGTTGGGTAGTTAGGGTTGAATGGTTGTTGACCAACAACATTGTTCCCTGCAAGACAAGTTTGGAATGATTATTTGTTCCGGAGTTGGAAAAGTGCTTTCAAATATAACTTTACCTTGGTTGGGTGTTCGATAATTCTGGTTGAATTGCTGGGGAAGGAATTGCTGAGGTATAAAGTGCGGGCCAGGCACAAATTGTGGTTGGAAGTTCGACTGAGGATTCGGTCGAAAGTTCGGCTGAGGATTCGGTCGAAAGTTCGGCTGGAAGTTCTGTTGAAATCCCGGCTGGAAATTCTGTTGAAAGCCTGGTTGAAAGTTTGTTTGAAAAGCGTTCGGCTTGGCAGGACGATAGTCGGGAACTTTGAAGTCCTCAGGTCTAGTGTAGTATACTGCTTGCTTCTGTCCGGCACTACCAGGATTCCTGAACAAAATAAACTCCTGATTCCTCAGCTTTGATATAATGGTCACCAACAAAATAGTGCTCGTATAAGAGCTTAAGCAACTTCTCTTGACGCCTTTCCATTTTTACGTTGAAAGAGAAACGCCATGTTAATAACATGTGAATAATGACATTCGTTACAGAGCCCACTAAGTTGAGTTCCCAGTGAGGAACAGCAAAAAATGAGAAAGCTACGTAGCGAACCTCGCAGACCTCCCGACGAGTTTCCTTGAGCCTATTCGTTCCATGCCAGCGCAAGGATATCCCCTGCCTGCGGCGGCTGATATCCTGATCGTCATCACTGCATTATTAGGGTGTCCACAAAGTTCGTTGGCCATTCGTTTTTTCAGAGCTTGTAAAGATAACTCACCAAGTTGAACTTACCGGTCCATGATATAATCTCCATGCATTACCACCCCTTTCGCCAACGATGTAGAGAGGAACTCCATCGCTCCCAAAGCCGCCGCCGCGACTCGCTAGTCTTCATCAGAAACTGCGAGGTCGCGCTCGTTCTTCAGCTGTTTTCCGTCCAAGAAATTTTGCATGGACCGGAAGATGTGGTAATCGCATGGGCTAATGTCCGGGCTATACGGTGGATAGCGTGAGTCGTCTTGTATCCCAGCCTGTCCAGGAGGCTGAGTAAACTCTCGCTTTGTGGGGCGCGCGCGTTGTCAGAGCAACACAGGATTTGAAGTTTCGGCATAGGCGGGCAACTTTCACCTTGAACCTCTGCAATCTTTGAGAGGTCTACTGCGTCACTGTGGCATTGTTGGGAACTAGATGCTGTAGGTGCACAACGCGTGGCGAGAGAACCAGAAACCTCGGCATATCTTCGATGCCATAGTTTCCATTGGTGAAGCGAGTCCACCATTTTGACATCCAGTTCTTAGAAGGGGTGTTATCACCAAACTGCTGACGCATCCTGGTCGTGGCCTGACGTCTGGAGATGCCCAGGTTGTAGCAGTCCAGCAAACATCGGCGGTGGTGGTGACTATCACTCATCTTCACTGCTTTATTGTGGGAAGAGCAGGAAAGGAAATTTAGAGCTAGCTAGCTCAGAAGATAGCCCATCGCGAGTACTTTCAGTATTGCGAAATCTTTGCAAAATCACAACTTGCGATATCACATTTGCAAACAGCGTTGCGTAACGAGACGCTGTTTACAAATGGCCAACGAACTTTATGGACACCCTAATAATTACATCCAACAGTGGAAAAGCGAAAAAACGGTGTAAAAACTGAACCGTGCAGGAAACAGATCAGTACTGGTGGCGGATAAGTATAACAGGGAGCGTCCCAGAGCTGCACACATGAGACGCAGTCTCTGTCTACCGAGAAGCGCGAAAAAGGCGTAAGCTAGAGCTTCAGAACTCGTACAAAATTTACCTATCAAACAACGCCATGAATGCTTGCGCGGGACGTCAACTAGGTTAGCGACCCCCATTTCAGCTCTGGCTCCAATCTCGCCAAAGACTTCCATCTTTTCACCTCCTTCTGCTCGCTCTTCGAGGTTCCACCTCCTGCACTCGAGAGGCATCAGCGCCTTGTAAATCGCCTCAAGTTAGTCTGCTGCGACCACTGACCGTTTCTATGAAAACTGACGTTTCAAGAATTGTACTGCAGTCACAGGAAAAAGTGTAGCGGCAAGTGGCGCCGATCACCACGCACACGAGCAGCGATCAAATCTTGGACCAGCTCCGGTTCGAACCAAGCTTTCGGTCCTTCCGGGGCCTGATGTTTCGTGCTCACTGCCTTGCTCGATGTTGCTGCACTTCACTGTGAGTGTGGAGACAGTACATCTGCTGGCCTCAAAAAGCCGGTGTATATCTCAACTCGCATACAAAATGGTACTGCGACTCTCTATGGAAGTGGATAGCAAAGAACAAAAGCTTCTCAAGCGTCAACCTTCACGCTGTGATTGCTGGAGATTCGGCCAGTAGAACGTCTACCAAGAGATTACCGAGAAGTCGACAAAGCGAAACCTTCGCGTGCTATCGTTCCATGAACCCAACAAGGGTTTGAAGTATAATTATAATGAACCTAGAGTTGGAATGTTGCACCGGGATGAGGATGCGTCTGAGGATGCGTCGCACAAGTTTTTCCAAGGGTCACACTCCCCGAAACATGACTGTAGGCGCGACATCAGTGATCAGATAACAAAACCACTCAGATGCACGTGTTATCTTCGAGGAGAAAGTCAGAAAATTCAAGGATAGTTGGCATCAAATCACTACCGGTTCAAAAGAACACGGTTGTGCGCGAACAGGAGCTTTCTATGATACGTACACGCCGCCTTTGTTCATCCATATTGTGCCCAGGAGATTACTGCTCGCGCCCTCCTGTCATGGATAAGACTTCGGATGTCAACATGGCGGTGTCAACGTAACCATTCGGGAGAAGGGCTCCAGTGCGAGCCTTTCACAATTTACCTATCGCTTTACCAATAGGGGCGGGGTATACATAGCTGTTTTGAAAGTGAAAAATTCAACAGTCGGCAATCGGAAAATATTCTTTCCGAGACCAACAACGAACCCTCACCCTCTTTCTGCCCCGCCCTCCCCAATTAGGACTCGCACAGTGAAATACGCTGACGGCAACATCTCCTGGTTGAAAGAGTGAACTTCCCAGAGAACCTCCTCAACGAGCAATTCCTCATAAAGCGAAATCTCACAAGCTCTCTTGGCGAAGGCATCGGACAAGTCATTTTCATAAGAGGGTCAACTACCTTTCTTTCATTATGAAAGGAATCCAAGAAACGTAAAAGGGTCATATCTTCAAGATTTAGCCTTTTTCTCATAACTCGTGACTTGCAAGGAACCATGTCCGCTTACTCTCTACATATCTATCACGCTTGTCACGAAAAAGGCCAAAATCCTTAGTATAATGGAGTTTTCTTTGGAGTAATTTGTGCTACTGGAACACTGTGAGAGCGACTCAAATTTCGACACCGTTATCTCACCTTTACCAGCGGATTTTTACGAGACATAATTTACGCAAGCAGAGTCTCGACCAAAAAATGATATAAATGTATACAAAAATGAGCAAAAAGGCACCAACCCTTCCGGTGGTACGGAATTGGATGCTCGATGCGTTCGAGCCGTGGCATTTTTGCGCACGTTAGTCACTGGTGTTCGCCATATTGGTTTTACAGCGAAAATACATACAGTAATCGACAAGAGCAGTAAAATCGATCGCATCGAAGTCCGTGATGAGACGATTGGAGCACCCGTACGACAATTGTGACCTCCTCGTAACTCCGCCTCCGCGTAGAAAGGGAAGGCAACGAGACGGCTGACCAGCGATGAGTGGACGAGATTACACCGGTTCAAGAAGGATCAGGCTTTTGAAATGCGGATCTGATTGAATGAAAGCATAAAGGAACTGGGAATAGTGAGGGCAGCTAATTTCCACGATAAATGCCACATTTCCATTTCCTTCACTGA